TTCACATGTACATGCGACGTGAGCTACAAAGGTGGGATGCACTTCAGCAGTAGCTTTAATAAAGTTCTTTTAAAAAGAACTCCGTTTAGAGGTTTAGGGTGGGAGCCTATGCGATATGGTCCACACCCTAAACCCCTCAACCCTAGGCCTATCAAACCCCCAAAACCTAAAGCCCTTAGCCCCATCAGACCAAAGCCCTAAACCGTAAATCCTGAGCCCTAAGCCCTAAGCCCTAAACCCCAAGCTCTATCAAACCCCAAAGCCTAAACAAACTCCGCAGGTCCTGCGCTTCTATCAGAGAACGTCCCTCGAGGATCTGCTTGGAAGCTGAGAAGTTTGGAAGTGCAGGGTTCCTTTGATACAGTGGCCTGAACAATTTCCAATACTATTATGGGTGGCTCCTTATTAAGATTAAAGTATAACATACCCCATAACCCTATTCCAATTATTGGGTTTAATTTAGGGTCTTAGAGGGTTGAAGGTCTTAGGGTGTAGTGGTTTAAGGTTTTAGAGATTTTGGGCTCCAGGGTTTTGGGTTTTGTGTTTTAGGGTTTTGCGGTGTTTGGGTTTAGAGGTAGTAGAGTAGGCAATTTTTGGACCTTGTTGGGGCTACTATGATCCCTACGTAATCCAACAGGTTAACCTTTAGAACTGCTGGGGTACTGGACAAGTGAGTCCTAATCTGATACCCCAAGACCGTATTCTAAATAATAAGGCCCCTGTATTCTAGAGCCCTTATGGTAACTCAAAACCTGAAAAAGGAAGTGCTAAACGAAACCTAATTGATGGCTTCACCTGAAATTTTAGAAGGGGCCCCCAATAGAATTCGAAAAATGGTACGATTGTCAGGCGGTCTCTACTGTCACATTGGGGAGGTCAAACCCTAAACCATAAACCTAAACCCGGGGAGGATCTTGCTTCTGCTCTGGCACTTGCTCCTGCGGCGGCTCTAGCTCCTGCTCTTGCTCCAGCCACCACTGCGGCTCTTGCTCCCTGCGCTTGCTCTCGATCTTGCTCCTGTCGTGGCTCTTGCTATCGCTTTTGCTCTTGCTCTCGCTGTCTCTCTCTCGCTCTCGCTCTTGCTCTGCTACTGTTTCTGCTGCGGCTCTTGCTCTTGGTCCTGCCCTCGCTGTTGCTCCTGCTTTAGCTGTTCCTCTTGCTCTTGCTCCTGCCTTTGTTCCTGCTCTTGCTCTTACATCCCCCCTAATTCAAAACAGATTTTACAAGACGGCGATGACTTCAGGGGGGATTTCCCGGAAAAGTGTATTTATTCCTAGGGGTGACACGAAACCCTAAACCCTAAACCCCCAAACCCTTACATTGCCCACGCAATCCTGGGCCTCAGGGTTCCCTCAGCCCCGGGTTTCGGCTTTAGGGTTTAGGGTTTAGGGTTTAGGGTTTAGGGTTTAGGGTTTAGGGGTTTGAAATTCAGGGACTTTTGAAGCCCAGAGCAGTAAGTTTCGGGATTATCGAAACCTGTCGCTACTTTAAGAGGCCTCCACAGATTGACTGATTCGATTGTGGCAGCAGGGCGACTTCAGAGACCGTCAAACCCCGCAACCTGCAACCTACACCCAGAATCCAAGTCCCGAAACCCTGCCCACAAATCATGTCCTTGCCCAGACACGAGAAGCCGGCGGAAGAGGTGACCCACAAGAGGCCGATAGACAGCTGCCCCAGCAAGTCATAACTGTCATAACTGAAGCGCCCGGATTCCAACGCTTAAACTTAAACTCCAAAAGCCTCGTAACCCGGAAATAAATCGTACAGACCCTGAAGACCCCTATAAACACTAACCTGTATTCTCCGATGTCTTCCGGGAGCCTCTCCAGCAAAGGAACTCGAAAAAGCTTTAAAGGCCGCCGCAACCCCAAACCGTGATCTTTTGCGGGGCTGGAACCCTGATTGAAACCATAAGGGTTCTGTAATAAGGGTTTCTACAAGGGCTGTTATAAGATTTTTGCCAGTAAGAGCTACTTTCAGGCTGCTAGAATAGAAGGAGGATCATGGGACTTAGTAAGTAAGGTTATAAGTCCCCTAATTGGGGTTATAAGTAAATATAAGTACAGTTACCTTAATTATAACCCTACTTACTAAGTCCCATGATCCTTTAAGTAGAAGGAGTGCTATCATTGCGCAGGAGGAGTCGATCAAGATCTGCGAGGCCGTGGCTTTGTTCCTCGGGCCGCTTCTTGCCGAAAAGATCGGGTCTTTGTTTTCGTTTGTTGTGTGTGTGTGTGTGCTTTTTTGTTTTTTTTTGGGGGGGGGTTGAGTTTAGGGTTAGGCTTCAGGGTTCAACGTGTAATCTTGAAGAATTTATGGTAGGGCTTATACAGGCCGTAGGGTTTGCGGCGTAGTGCCCAGGATTTAGACCTTACGGCTGAGCCTCATGGCACACGTATTATCAACAGTTTAGGGTTTAGGGTTTAGGGTTTAGGGTTTAGGGTTTAGGGTGCAACCCTGTTGGGAAACCAAAATGTCATGGTTTTCTTTGTGCCGTCGGGCGGGGCCGAAAAAAGAGCGTGAAATCTGAGTTTACGACTATCCTAACCATTGGGTTGGGATTAGGGCATAGGATATAGGTATCTATCAGAATCGTTTGTCCGTTGTCGATTTCGGATTCTTGGGTTCAGCTCTTAGTTCTTAGCTAAGGGCTGCGTGGTTGAAGGTTTGATTGCGGGCCAAAGGTTCAGGGTTGAGGTTTTGTCGGGGTATAATTTTGGGGTTAGGATTTTAGGGTGTAAAGGTTTAGTAGGAGTTTCGGGGTTTAGGGTTTAGAGGTTTAGGCTTAGGGTTCCCTGTTCTGAACAGTAGCACACACCATCCCGTGATAGTCCCTGTATAGAAATCCCTAAATCCAAACCCCGAAACCCTGAACCCTTGTTGAACCGCAACTCTTGGCCCTGAGCCTTTATGGGTCCTGGGGTTTGGCATGCCCTGACAGCCGCACGGGATTATACATGGTTTGGTAGGGTTTGACCAAAAGCTTTCCATTGTTGTTTTTGTTTTGGTCGCTTTAGGCGGGGTTTTGAGGTTTGTACAAAGTTTTTACAACGTTTTAAAGAACCGTTTTTGAAATTGCAATTATTCCATTTCGGAAGCCCAACATTCTCCCAAGCCTGGGGTCTAGGGTTTAGGATTCAGGG